ATAAATGACTACCCACTTCTAAACAAAATAACGTGAAATGACACCCCAATCGGGCGGCACATACCCGTATTGCACTTCTATAGAAGTACCCCCTCCCGGGGGAGAGACTGGCTTAAAACGCACCCTTAAAGGGCGGCAGTCGTCGTGCTGCGTCCTGTTCGATATGGGACTCATATCGATGTATACAACGCGTGTAAAATACATTGTTTATTTACATACAATTCGAACATGCGCTGCGCGACGACCACCGCGCTTTAAAGATCTAATATAGACCATTTGTGATGTGAGGGAAAAATACAAAACGTCAACAATGTAATTGTAAATGAATATCAGGAAATCTAAAAACATAATTTGAAAAAAAATTGTAAACAGATGTTACAAGATAGACTATGATAACAAAGGAAACAGTCAATTTAACGATTATTTTTAGATGGTGAAAATAGAATCAGTCAATTTAAAACTATCAACTATTGAAGCTGCAATGCATGTTCAAAACTGTATATACTACATGTGTTATACTTGTCTGTCACGTTGGCTCAGATGACAACGTCACGGATTGTTATTCTATCACTTACAGGGTGTTGCCGTGGTTGATATCAATAAAGAGAAGGGGAGCCAGACAGTAGAGGAACTTAATGCAGAGTATGGGGATGGAAAAACTGTGTTCATCCAGTGTGACGTCAGCAATACGTCACAACTAGAAGGTAATGTACAAGAACTGGCAGACAGTGTTCTACATGTGTGTTAAACACATGTGAAATAGTTATGTATGGTCTTATGTGTATTTGTTATGTGTAGTAGAGCTTCACTGAGAAACTGATATGATGCTGAACATACAATCATATATGACACGTGACACGTAATAGACATTTTCCGAGTTTTTTGCATAGAAAAAAGTTTATTTCATTCCCACCGTAAGGGGTCACACACGGCTAGGTCACCATATTTCTGGTTTACCAGAAGCACCCATTACTGTCAAAAACGTTTGGGGAAGAGAATACTGAATGCGAAAGTATTTATTCTAGTACGTTATCGCCACTCTTAACGGAATGTTAGAGAGGGTTGAATATGTGTCCTCTTTGAGGTGGGGTGAGGTGGAGACGTTTGAGATGAGGTGGACAGGGAGACTTTTAAGGTGGTGTTGGTTGAGATATTTGAGGTGGGGGTTGGTGCTGAATGCAAACGTATATATCGACACAAAATTTCGTAAAATTCAGGAGGACGTCTACAGAACCAAACTATACATTTATCCGTGACCATTCTGTTCTGGTACAATATAATCACAAGGGTGTTATATTTGATAAAATCATTCAGCCCTATTAAAGGAATATTCGTGTATTATTCCGTAATAGTTAATATTCATATTTATGTATTGTAGCCGCCTATGCTAAGGTAAAGGAAGACTACAAGAGACTTGATATTGTATGCAATAATGCTGGCATTGGTGACGAGTTCAATATGGAACTTATGGTTGCCATCAACCTGGTAAGTAGCGCTATTTCTCTCCCGCTATACAGATTTGTGATTTGTTTAGAGGTAGTCACGTGGTATCATTTCTTACCAAATATATGGAAACAATAATATATGTATAACATTTTAAACAGTTACATTTAGTATATAAAGATTTATGTTGTCTAATTCGAATTTTATAGATCCGTTTTAAATTATGTTTATATATTATTCAGTACTTATTTAATATATTTATGATATATATGAAATAATCTCGGTTTACGTGGTGTTATTGAACTGTTTGTGCACATTTTACAACCAATTATTTAAAATTGTTCGCAAGTCAAATACTGTTTTTTATTCTGATAGACCGCAGTTATCAGAAGTACCTACCTTGCCGTGCAGTATATGGGAACAAAGAATGGAGGAAATGGCGGTGTGGTCATCAACACTGCTTCGAGGGCAGGTATATATACATTTTATAACCAGTTATACTTGACTGACACTGGTCTTCATGTAACAAAGTTTCGAATAATGTTTACATCATGCCATGTTTACACATTGTTTACATCATGGCCGTATTCACACATTGTTTACATCATGGCCGTATTCATACATTGTTTACATCATTGCCGTATTCACACATTGTTTACATCATTGCCGTATTCACACATTGTTTACATCATGGCTGTGTTCACACATTGTTTACATCATGGCCGTATTCACACATTGTTTACATCATGGCCGTGTTCACACATTGTTTACATCATGGCCGTTATTCACACATTGTTTACATCATGGCCGTATTCACACATTGTTTACATCATAGGCCGTGTTCACACATTGTTTACATCATGGCCGTATTCACACTTTGTTTACATCATTGGCGTATTCACACATTGTTTACATCATGGCCGTATTCACACATTGTTTACATCATTGCCGTATTCACACATTGTTTACATCATTGCCGTATTCACACATTGTTTACATCATGGCCGTATTCACACATTCTTTACATCATGGCCGTAGTCACACATTGTTTACATCATGGCCGTATTCACACATTGTTTACATCATGGCCGTGTTCACACATTGTTTACATCACGCCATGTTCACACATTGTTTACATCATGGCCGTATTCACACATTGTTTACATCATGGCCGTATTCACACATTGTTTACATCATGGCCGTATTCACACATTGTTTACATCATGGCCGTATTCACACATTGTTTACATCATGGCCGTGTTCACACATTGTTTACATCATGGCCGTATTCACACATTGTTTACATCATGGCCGTATTCACAAATTACAGCATAAAAAGAACATAGATGGCGCCTCACAGACTATGGCAATGTTATGTGCTCATGTTTCCAGGTATCGTTCCGTGGTTTCCATGCAGTATTTATACTGCAACTAAGCATGGTGTAGTTGGTTTCACAAGAAGTGTAGCAGTAAGTTAATGTTTTTATCCATTGACTGAATCGAGTGACTGTATTTTTATCGTAATTAGTTCTTCTCTGAGATGGTTTGGCTAATTTCAAACTTAATAATATTGTAATAAACCTTATTGCATCCTTAGAAATACAACGTTTCTATCGGTTAATAGCAATAAGGATAAGTTGTGATAACTCCAAATCTAAGAATAAATGGTGGTCGCATGTGTCTATCTGCGTTTATGTTCCTTCGGTGGCTATCTTGAAGCAAAATATGATACAGATGAGATGGTTGTGTCAATTTAATTTATAATTTTTATTTTACATGCATGCTTCTTTTTTTCTTGAATTTACCAAACGTGGCATAGTTCAGTGGCCCTATGTAGGACCAAACATCCATCACACTTCAAAAAACTTGTCACATCATCTTGATTTAAACCTTGACTTATACTATATGATGATACATGGGAAGATAATTTCTATCCCTGAGAAAGTTTAGTTATATTTATTATTTAAATGTATGGTCTACTTTGAATGAATGTATCAGTCGACAATTTATTATAACTACACATTATAGGACTTTTTTTTAATAAAGTAGTGTTTAAATATTATAACAAATATCTTCTGACTAAACATTGTGATGGCATTCTGGTCCAAAATGCATCAGATTTAATATATAGTGATCAGGCCATGGAATGTACTTAAATGCTTGCTGGTTTTAAAGAAAAAGAATTTTAAGCGTGTTTTACCGTTTTTAGAGAAAAAACATGGCGAAAAAAGTCACGTGACTGTAAGGGTTTTTATTGCCTAGACCCTCAGAAAGTGTCATTGTCTGCCAAACCAGCTGACCAGTCATAATTCTGAAAAACGATATCCTACTTTTTAGACAGTCACCTAGCTGCTCATAGTTTCATGATGCATTGCAAAAAGTTATACAAGGCTCCACCCACTATCATGCGAATGAGAGGTAATGGACATTTCCAAACATGATACCCAGGTCACGTGATCAGTAGATTTACAAATACCCAGATGCACAACTAACCGTACCAAGGTTGGTGACTGTAGCATTGGTAGTTTTTGAGTTACAAGAGCCACAAAAAAGTGACAGAAAAATAATAATCGGAACAGAAACAAATGGTGGTTTCCAGCCACTGCTGTTATAAATTATGATATTTGATAAATTTGAAAACTGCCGGTGACAGAACAATCAGAACAATCGCTGTGATGTCACGGTTGATGAATACAAACTCCTGAATAGGACGACCAAGCCTGCGCGTGCGCCCAATATCTGATTGGCTTTGTAAATTATTGTAGACAATCAAGTTATGTCAGTTTGGTTTGAATGAAACGTTCGGTGATACGTTTTAAATTAGTCATAAAATATGTAAATGAATTTTCTGAAAGCAATGTATAACACGTACACCTTCCGTTCAATGTGATTTGATGTACTTAAAGCGGGAGGGTCGTCACCTGCGCACGCGCGGGTCCCAAGCGACGATAGCAACACACACCAAAAATGCAAAGGCTCATGGGTAGACGCTTGTTTGTAGACAATGACACGCCATGGCCATTTGACGCATGTGCAGGTGACGACTCCCCCGCTTTAAATATATTAACATAATAGTCAACTCCAGTAACATACTCCTAACAAAAACAGCAAATGATACATGAAAATATAATTAATTATTAACGATGCAAATCATACGGAATTAATGAATTAATATGAACCATTAATATCCAGTGACTCTTTAAAAAAATAGTTTAGAGAATTATCTGACAAACATTGAATAACTCAGACTTGTCTAAGTTGTCTTGTCTGAATGAAAGAGTATCATTTTTCTGTATCACAAATCAGATAACAGATTTTATGATGTTCTAATGAATGAGAATTAAATCCATGAGAGTCCGTCCGTCCGCAACCCGTCCTAAATATCATTGTCATTCGATGACCTTTCAAATTGTGTTGTTCTAAGTTTTATCAGTGTTAATTATATGTTCGTACTTTTATGGATGAGTGTCAATTTCTGCAAGGAATGAAAAATATGGGGAAGTGTGAGTATTGGTTTCTATGTAATACTTTCCTCTTCAGGCCCTGGCTCTATGACATAGACTGAAAACTTGATATATTGCCGATTGACAATGGTATATTGTTTTTACAAATTTTGGGAAAGATTGGATTTAATGATTCTAAATGACAGCTATTAACACTTTAAATGTATATCTTTTTGTTTCAGGAGGAACCTATGATTAAAGAAAACAAAGTACGTGTGGCTGCACTTTGCCCTGGTGATGTGGATACACCTCTTATAGCAAGTGGAATAAAGTGCCGCTATCCCAGAGAATTGAAGTTATCTTTGGAAAGGTTTCCGCCAATGACGTATGTATTTGTTATTAATGCTGAGATTGGACAAAATGTGGCGATATGCTAGTTCTTTTAAATCATATTGAACTGAAAATGGCACTATGCTAGTTAATTTGATCATATCCGACTGAAGGTGGCGCTATGCTAGTTAATTTAAATCATATCCGACTGAAGGTGGCGATATGCTAGTTAGTTTAAATCATATCGGACTGAAGGTGGCGCTATGCTAGTTAATTTAAATCATATTCGACTGAAGGTGGCGCTATGCTAGTTAGTTTAAATCATATCGGACTGAATGAGGCGCTATGCTAGTTAGTTTAAATTATATCGGACTGAAAGTGGCGATATGCTAGTTAGCTTAAATCATATTGGACTGAGATGGCGATATGCTAGTTAATTTAAACCATATCGGACTGAAGGTGGCGATATGCTAGTTAGTTTAAATCATATCCGACTGAAGGTGGCGCTATGCTAGTTAATTTAAATCATATTCGACTGAAGGTGGCTCTATGCTAGTTAGTTTAAATCATATCGGACTGAATGAGGCGCTATGCTAGTTAGTTTAAATCATATCGGACTGAAAGTGGCGATATGCTAGTTAGCTTAAATCATATCGGACTGAGATGGCGATATGCTAGTTAATTTAAACCATATCGGACTGAATTTGGCGATATGCTAGTTAGTTTAAATCATATCCGACTGAAGGTGGCGATATGCTAGTTAGTTTAAATCATATCGGACTGAAGTTGGCGATATGCTAGTTAATTTAAATCATATCGGACTGAAGGTGGCGATATGCTAGTTAGTTTAAATCATATCCGACTGAAGGTGGCGATATGCTAGTTAGTTTAAATCATATCCGACTGAAGGTGGCGATATGCTGGTCAATTTAAACCATATCGGACTGAAGGTAGTGATATGCTATTTAGTTTATATCATATCGGAATGAAGGTGGCGATATGCTAGTTAATTTAAACCATATCGGACTGAAGGTGGCGATATGCTAGTTAGTTTAAATCATATCCGAGTGAAGGTGGCGATATGCTAGTTAGTTTAAATCATATCCAACTGAAGGTGGCGATATGCTGGTCAATTTAAACCATATCGGACTGAAGTTGGCGATATGCTAGTTAATTTAAATCATATCCGACTGAAGGTGGCGATATGCTAGTTAATTTAAATCATATCGGACTGAAGGTGGCGATATGCTAGTTAGTTTAAATCATATAAGGACTGATGGTGGCGATATGCTAGTTAATTTAAATCATATCGGACTGAGATGGCGATATGCTAGTTAATTTAAATCATATCGGACTGAAGGTGGTGATATGCTAGTTAATTTAAATCATATCGGACTGAAAGTGGCGATATGCTAGTTAGTTTAAATCATATCGGACTGATGGTGGCGATATGCTAGTTAATTTAAACCATATCGGACTGAGATGGCGATATGCTAGTTAAATTAAATCATATCGGACTGAGATGGCGATATGCTAGTTAATTTAAACCATATCGGACTGAAGGTGGTGATATGCTAGTTAATTTAAATCATATCGGACTGAAGGTTGCGATATGCTAGTTAATTTAAATCATATCGGACTGAGATGGCGATATGCTAGTTAATTTAAACCATATCGGACTGAAGGTAGTGATATGCTATTTAGTTTATATCATATCGGAATGAAGGTGGCGATATGCTAGTTAATTTAAACCATATCGGACTGAAGGTGGCGATATGCTAGTTAGTTTAAATCATATCCGAGTGAAGGTGGCGATATGCTAGTTAGTTTAAATCATATCGGACTGAAAGTGGCGATATGCTAGATAGTTTAAAATCATATCGGACTGAAGGTGGCGATATGCTAGTTAGTTTAAATCACAATGGACTGAAGGTGGCGATATGCTAGTTAGTTTGAATCATATCGGACTGAAGGTGGCGATATGCTAGTTAGTTTAAATCATATCCGACTGAAGGTGGCGATATGCTAGTTAGTTTAAATCATATCGGACTGAAGGTAACGATATGCTAGTTAGTTTAAATCATATCCGACTGAAGGTGGCGATATGCTAGTTAGTTTAAATCATATCGGACTGAAGGTAACGATATGCTAGTTAGTTTAAATCATATCCGACTGATGGTGGCGCTATACTAGTTAGTTTAAATCATATCGGACTGAAAGTGGCGCTATGCTAGTTAGTTTAAATCATATCGAATTGAAGGTGGCGATATGCTAGTTAATTTAAATCATATTGGACTGGGGTGGCGATATGCTAGAATACTTAGTGGTGTTGTCACTGTGCGACAGAAATAGAAGACACGATAAAGTACCGCGGAACTATGGGTGTAAACATAGTTTTGTTCTGCGTGTGTTCAGAACTGTTCCATTAAAATACCAGCTCACTATGCCTAAATTTCATTTCAGTTAATGCTAACATTTTCATAATAGAATTCCAACCGCAATGCTATTGGCCCTGCTGTGCAAAGAAATAATCTTGCAGTGGTGGTCACTAGCCATTTAGCACTACACATAACGTTACCTTCAATTACATGGGGGTTGGGGTGTTGGGGTTTGGGTTCAGGTTAGGGGTGTGGACTTAAGGGACTCTTTCCCTAGAACGATGTTCAGAGATATACATTACACCTTCTGGTTAGGTTATTAACCCGGTTGTTTGTTTTTTCCCACAATATTAACCAGCATGACCACATTTGAACTGAGGGCGCTCGTCAAATCACGTGAACTCGAAAACACGAGACCAAAAATCATGTTAAAAATCATTGTTGCTTTAAACATTTCTTTGATCACTAAAAGTTATTACTAAAAAATATGAATGAATTGAATTTTAAAACACATTAGGTCACAGCTTGAAATACTTATGCGAAAACGGAAACCAACTTGCAAACAGCAGACTTCAGTCCACCTACCGGGGAATCAATCTCATAAGTCAGCGAATAACACACTGGCCTGATAAACTCGCTTAAGTTAAGTCAAGTCACACAATCACACCATTCCAACAGTGAATCTCAAATCACAGGAAAAAACTGGTTGTTATTCTCGGGGGTGGACATCATCCGGGCATTTTCACCGCCTGGCAACCATCACGAAAGGCCGAAAACTCTCGAAAACGGTACTTTGAGATTGTTGTTGAGACTCCCCTGAACAGTGTAACAAGATTAACTTTGCGTGTGCAGCATATATAAATTTGGTTGTTCGGGATTACTTCGAAAGTTGAGTTTGTGTTGTTTTCTTGAATTTAGCTATTTTCACCGGCTCTTCGACCAGCGTTCCGCAGCTCGCGCAAAGCCCATATAACTATATGGGTACATGGCGTCTTAGCAACATAGCACGTTCTGTGACGTAGTTCCGCCCCCGAGGATTGCAAGCAGTCATTGTTTGACCAACAATCTATAGCATTTGTGATGACAATTCATTTAGTCGTCTATAACTCTTTCAATCTGAAACCACGAACTTATACATACT